AAAAAAAAAAAAAAAAAAAAAAGGAATGGTGGCGTTTTCCGGAGCTCTGATTGGTCAACAGGCACTTTCATACCTGCTGATCTCAAAGCTGTTTGCAGCGTAGGTTACCATGGTGATATGCCCCAGTAAGAAGAAACCAGGGTTAACGCTGGTGACGTGGATTAGAGCTTTAGTGAACAAAAACAACCATAAATAAACGGAGTCGAGTCATTTTGTTGTTGTGGATCAAACAATGACGAGCTTCCAGCTGCTCGCCGCAGCAGGTCAGTCGATGTTTTATTGACTCGAGGGGGCAGAGTTCAGTCAGTGGATGGAGAGCATCCATGTATGTCTGAACTCTGACGGGGTCATTCTAACATGTGAACTTGCTCAATCATTTTCAGTTATGCTCTATTCTGTTTACCCATCACATAAAACCCCCAGCACATTTAAATTTGTGGCTGTGACGTGTGGAACAGCTCATAGGTCATAATCGTTCAGGGGGAGGGCAGCTTCTCTCAGAGTGCGAGGTGAGCGTGAGACCGCTGTGACTGAAACTTTCTCTTATTTCATAAACAGGGCAAAAGAAAAACATGATCACAATTTAGAAGAAACTTTATTTATACAAGTTACTTTAACAACAACCTACACTTTGTTAGTGTCACCTCTACAGTCTGAAATGATACAAAGTTACCGTAAGTATGACACACGAAGGGTAAAATGAAACTGGGAGGATTGCAGCCACGACAGAATCCAGGTCAGGAACCGTGGAGGAGAACATGACAGGAACAGAGCGCGTCGGTACGGTTAGGGTTGGATGGACGAAGCAAAGGAAAACGGCTGCGTGAACGACACGAGCTGACGAGCTCCTTTGCCGTCGGAGCCAAAAGTCGAGGCGGGAGGCAGACGCCAACGCCCCGCTCCGACCTGCAGCTTTCCAGGCTACGACTCCTCACCTGTGTGAGTGTCCAGGTGCTCCAACAAGCTGCGACTAGACGGAAAAGTGGCGCTGCACGCGTCGCAGGGATACAGTTCCTCGCCGGCGTGCGTCTTCATGTGCACGGACAGGATGCTTTTCTGACGGAAACTTTTCCCGCAGCTCTTGCATGAGTACGGCTTCTCGCCCGTGTGCGTTCTCATGTGCACGGACAAGATGTTTTTTTGGCGGAAGCTCTTCCCACAGGCTTTGCAGGGATACGGCTTCTCGCCCGTGTGCGTTCGCTCGTGGATCGTCAGATCGCTTTTTTGAGCGAAACCTTTACCGCACGTTGTGCAGGAATACGGCTTCTCGCCCGTGTGAGTGCGCATGTGCACGGACAGAATCTTTTTCTGGCGGAAACTTTTCCCGCAGGCTTTGCAGGAATACGGCTTCTCGCCCGTGTGCGTTCTCATGTGCACCGACAAAGTGCCGCTGAATCGGAAACTCTTCCCACATTCTTCGCAGGTGTGCGGCTTCTCATCGGTGTGCGTTCTCACATGGACCAATAGGTGACCCCTCTGAATAAAACCTTTCCCGCATATTTCACAAGCGTATGGCTTCTCACCTGTGTGAAGCCGCATGTGGCTCAGCAGGTGACTGCTCTGAGTAAAACCTTTCCCGCACGTTTCACAGGAGTACGGCTTCTCGCCCGTGTGGGTTCTCATGTGACCCAACAGGTGAGCCCTCCGAGTGAAACTCTTCTCACATGTTTGGCAAGTATACGGCTTCTCGCCTGAGTGGATTTTCTGGTGTTCCTTTACGTAAGAGTTTTTCTTAAAGGCTTTTCCACAAACATTACATTTAAAAGGCTTTTTACTCGAGTCGGCGTCGCGCTGACTCTCTGACACCGGACAGCTGCCGGGAGCGCCGTCAGAGTGAAGCTGGTGACCGTTAGCCTCTGGTTCACTGTGGTCACTGTCATCAAAAGCAGTCACCAAGAAGGCGTCGGTCTCATCCTTCAGGACGAGCTGCTCATCCTCCTGGCTGGTGCGCACTTCCTCCTGTTCCTCTTTAATGTGTAGAGGCGTCGGCTCCTCCTGGTCCTCACTGGAGTTCATCTTCAGGTCACACAGCTGCTCCTCCTCACAGACAGAGAGACAAACCACGAAAACATTAGTTCAAACTACAAATGACACAACAGTGTCCTCACACACACACACACACGTATAGTTGTTGTCTGAAAACGAAGCATCTTTATTTCAGTTTCATTGCCACGGGATAAAACAGATTGGTTTTTAATTCAACACGTCGTCTTTTATACATTTCTGGGATTCCCTCGTCCTCAGTCAGGTGATCTACGCTACGCTGCTCTTTGTGGACTTCAGCTCATGTCCTGGTCACAGACCGGTGACCAGCTGACGACCCCTCACTGCCTCACTTCTGTGTGATTGCTCCCAGGGTAGACGAGCGGGGCCCCACATCACCCGAGCCTAAACGCTGGCTCCACCCTTTACACCCACATCCACACCCCCACCCAGTCCAGCAATAGCATCATCAATTCTGAGGACGAGACAATCCCAGTGACACAGAGGAGGACCTGACCCGCAGCACAAGCACAGTACTGGTTTAAAAGCTGCTGTGTCCTCCTGTCACTGCAAAGGGAACGCCCGAACATGCTGTGTGGTTGTCCAACAGCACGGAGGAACGCACTCCCAGAACATCTGGAGATATATCGGCCCCGTTTGTGAAAGATGCGTCTCGAGCCGGACGCTTTGTGTTTGGAAGCTGCACATCAGGAACAAGGACAAACACTTTAAAAGACAGCAAATCGTGCGAGACGTGCAAATGTCTGGAACATGTGCTGCTTTTGCGTTTCATAAAAAACGCCAAAAACCGTCTAATCAGAGGCGTTTGAAAGCTTTAATGACATCACTCATTTAATGAGCTTGACCGTGCGGCACCTTTGAACACTGAAGAACCACGTGGACAATAAAGCGGCCGTATATACACGAGACAGGAAAGCAAAAAGAGCAACTTTCTCTTTTTACAAGCAGAAGTTGGTGATTAGCCAGTCTAAAGGTGCGTGGAGGTGATCTGAACATACACTTAAACCCCAAACAAACAGCTCCAACAAAACAACCGGTACAAAAGTGAAAGAGCTGATGGAGGACATGGGTTTGATTGGTGCTCCCTATTCCACACTCATCATATATCAGAATAGACCAACGCAGGGACAGATCAAGAGCTATCGAGTCGACGTGGGAACAGTAGACCTGAGCGAATGCGCCCTGATAAATATTGTAGTCGACTAAAGAGAAACAACATGGAGACTTAGGCCCAGCCTACTTAACGATGCTAATCTTAGGAAAGAATGAAATTCAAAAGTACATGAAAGAAAATGATAATGGAGAGGTGTCCTCACAGATAAAATGACTGCAGCAGCCTCAAGGAAAAAGAAAGTTTAGCAGGAAAAACGGCACGATTCCCAAAAAGAGCTGGAAAACAGCCGTGCACTGAACCAGAATCTGAATACACTGAAACAAGAAATCAAAAGAACTTCACATACACTCGGGAGACTGAACAGAAGATGCTACTTTGTAGACAAAGACATAAATTATTGGCACAGAAACATCAATATACAAAAAGGAGATCAAGCTGGCTTTCAACATAAACCCAGGATGATACAAGACAACGGCACACAGAGCGGGCTGTGATCCTTGAAGAGGCTTTTGGCTCTGATAGTTGGCAGTGCTGATACAGAGTACTGCAGAAGGCTGTGCCTCGTCTCCTCTTTGCTGCAACAGAAAAAATCACAGGTGTTGCAATAAATGTCAGTGATGTACGTTTATACTTCAAAACACCCGAGGAGTCCCTGCCTGAGGTAAAGAACTGCCTCAAAAACATTGGTCCAATGACAGGATGTAAACTGAGGTCCTATAATTACAGCCCATGTGAAAAACCCAAACAAGCAGACCCACTGAAATGGAAACAAAATTACAACCATTTATATTAAAGAGACAGGATCACACCTCCGAGCAATAGAAACCATCAAAAGATTTCTGTATGTTTCAGTGCCTCCCACTCAGGATTAATCACAAAGATTTTACTGAACAGGATAAAACGATCTCTAGATTTATATGACAAAACATTAAAAGAGAACAGTGGCTGGGCCCACCGCGTTCAAAACAATATTGTACTTGAGCAATGATGCACTGGTGGGATCCATCACATGGAACAACAATAACCAATACGCATGTACAGGCAGTGCTGGCAGACAACTCTACAGGGTAAAATGGTGATAAAAGAAAATAAGCTGGAGAAGGATACAAAATATCGAGATGTGTGCATATGATTCAGAATCTACACCAAATCAGATAGATGCTAGGTTTAAAAACTGGATAGAAAAAGGACTCCATATGTGGCGTTGTGAAGGAAGACGAAGTCTCCAAACTTTAAAGCAAACATTTAGAAAATCGAGACCACTACAGACATCTCCAGCTAAGAAACTTTATACTCCAAACATTAAAGGCCAAAAACCAGCGAGGCCGTTCATCCAACTCTTTCTAAATGCTGTAAGGTCAGAAACTAAGAAAGCTGTGCTCTCACAAATATACAAAAGTCTTCATGATTTCAACAATCACTCAACAACAACTGTGGCCGAGGCAGCACACCACTACCATGCGTGTTGGGACTGTAAGCATATTAATAACTACTGCAGAGACGTTCAGGAAGTGATACAAAACATCTGTAGCACATATTTACTCTTTGATTTCAAATCCATGTTTGTAGGACACTAGGGCTGCCACAATTAGTCGACTAGTCACGATTACGATCAAAATCGTCGACGACTGATTTAATAGTCGACGCGTCGTTTGAAGCTTTGTAAGATACTGAAAGACGCAGGAATAAGAAGTAGGATTTAAGAGTGTAATAACGGACTGAAACAGAAGATGGCAGCACTGCATGTACAAGGATGCCAGCTGCCGTTAAACCCCGAAGAAGAAGAAGCTGTATCCCAGAATTCATAGCGCGGCCCAGCTCAGTTTCCAACAATGGCGGCAGCTAGTTAGTTTTAATATTACTCCTATTATTCTTTCTGGGTCACAAAATAAACGTTTAACATATTTTCAAAAGCGCTCCGACGTTTTCAGAGACGTCTGTTACCCACTAGCTCGATAGCTAGCCGGCTAGGTCACTAGCGCCGTGAGAACACCGGACTCCCGGCAGATCGTTTTCAAACCCACCGCCGTCTTTCACTGCTCAGGTTAAACATGATATATGAGTCACTTAGGTAACTGTTAATGATAGTTATATAAGAGCAGATGCTGCTGGTGCAGTAAGCTGTACGTTGGATCATCTGATTAGTCGACTATCACAATAACCGTTTGTGGCGGCCCTAGAGGACACACACCCTCAGACACACAGGGTGTAGATAAATACTTGGTGTGTTGCTGACCAAAAGATGGCCAACACAGGATCCACCAACATTACCCAGCTGGACTCATGTAACGTTACAGATTTATAAGATGGAAAAGATTACTTGACTTTAGAGTATGAGACACGGCTTCGCTGGATATTGCTGATTGTCATCATTGAAGGAATAAATGTTTAAATGTTTTTACTCTGTATAGTAACACGTACTAATGTCACCATGCATGTACGTAGTTACAAACTACATTTATCTGCACGTGTTGTTTTTTTTCTGTCCTCACACCTGTGTGAAGGAAAAGTACCTGAAGTGAGTGCACACACCTAGACTACCATGCTCCTCTGTACTTATGAGTCTTAAAACTAAGGAAGCCGTTAAACGATGTGCATAACTTCAATAAAGACTTAAAAAAGCAGATAAAAACAATAGGATTAAATAACTGTTACGTATGGTGACAATAGCAACAACGTGTAATAATAAGCAGCAATCAGCCGACAGCCACGCAGCTCCAACAGCAGCACACCTGATGAACATCACGCAGCACCCACGCAGGTCGTGTTTCTGTCTGAGAGGAGGACGTTTGTGCCATTAGGGAGAACTCTGCTGCGGGGTCCTGAGGACTGAGCCTCAGGTGGAGGCAGGGATTTATCCAGAGCTGCGTGCGAGGCACAGCTGACTGCACGTGCACACGGTTTGCTGTCAGAGCGAGCTCACGGCGTGGTGGTGCTGTACGGTTACACGGCGTTCATAACTCTGGGTGTTTCTTTCCCCAGCATGTGACAGCCTGACAGGCCCACAGTTAAGGATCCAGACACTCATCTGCGCCTGTTTGGAGCTGACCCCACACCTATAAAACAGGTGGAGGTGGTGTGAGGCGGACTGAGCAGGTGTGCTCAGGTAAGTCGGTAGAGAGCTATTTTAAATCCCTGCTGCCTGAGAGCCCACGGGGCGTGTCCTCGCCCACGCTTTAATGAAGCTCGGGTTTATTTTCACAAACAGAGACAACATGGTGGTGACGTAGTTTGTCCTGTGCACTCATTGGCCGCCCGCGGCTCGCGCTCCAGGTCAGGGAAAGGAGACGGGCTCATCAAACAGACCCACAGTGTGACGTCAGGGGCCACGTCCGGAGTTGATCGCGACAGTTTACCACGTGTGTGCGCTGCAAATCGATCAGCTGATATTTGATCACGTGGCTGAGCTGTTGGCGACCTTCCAGAGAGCCCAGACCGCGCAGGACGCACGAGACCTTTTGTTCGGTGCGCGCGTCTGTGCGCAGACTTAACGTCCCGCAGAGCTGTGATCAGGATGCTCCCTCAGAGGGACACTCACCTGTCCTGTGCAGCTTGATTTGGGGTTTCCAGGTGATATCCAGCAGTCTGCGCTGACGGTCGATCTCTTCCTCGTACTGGACGATCGTTTTTTCAAACTCCAAGAATATTTGTTCAGCAGCAGCAGTTAGTCGCTCGTTGATAAACTCTCTCAGATACTGAACTGAAGGCATCGTTGCTGCCGCAGCTCACACACTCAGCTCACACACAGCACAAAGCCTCCAAAAGTTCACGCTGGAACAACCATACTGCCGCCTTTTCATTGTTTACTTCCACCGGATGTCCCGCTCTGAAGTTCCGGCAGGAGGAGGATGTTCAA